ATTAAAAAAAAAAAAATTTAAGTTATTTTGAAGTGTGATAGATAATTAACAAAAATAAATTATAAATGACATTTTATTCCCATTAATGGAAAGACAATCACTGCAATGCTATTTTGGTGTGGAATAGAATTTGTATCATCTTAGAATGCTATCTTTTACCCAATCATCCCCAGCTGCGATTTCAATTCTCTTCATACACCCACTATATTTTGATACCTTCTTACACAGATGTCCTCAGAGAGAGAGAGAGAGAGGGAGAAAGAGAGAGAGATAAACAAATTTATAAACATAAGATGTTGTTAATACAACCACTGGAATTTAAAAATTTCATTTTACCTCACCATCCACCCCACAAAATCGCTGATTAAGAATATATTTTATATTTTTCATTTTCTTTATTTGTTATTTTAGCAGTTCAAGGACCAATAACAGTTTATCTTTTATAGTTATTAATCTGCATTTATCATTGTCATTATAATCAATAGCTTAGGATCATTATTGACTATAATGATCAAAATTTCATTTGTATTTTTTTACTGTTTGTAATTGTATAAGATTATTTTTGCTACTGTTATTGTTACCATTTTAATTATTAATGTAACATTATAATTTTATTGTATTTCTTGTTAGTAATACAATATTTATTGGTATTACTATGCAAATATTATTGCTAGAAAGAGATTATGGCTGTTATGAGAACAAGACTAATAAGTCATATAGTTACTGCTACCACCACTATTGTCATTATTGCACATAATACATACTGAAGCAAAATTTGATACTCATAAAAGTTGGGTATCAAATAAAAGTATTCTGCCCAATAATTGGGCCTTTATGGTTAAATGTTTTCTGGAAAATGGTCTGTGTTGGTTTGCTTACTAGTAGTCAAACAGTGGAGAAGGAAAGTCAGAATTTTACAAAGTGTATGTTATTTATTTATTTTTTTTCTATTCTTTCTCTTGTAGATTTCATGAATGGTATTTTGTTGGGTCTTTCTGAAAGCCCCCCTTTAAATATAGATATTTATGAACATATAAATGAATTGCATTAAATAATTGGCTTTATTATCTTATAAGCGCCCTGTCATCAAAAGCAGAAAAAGAAAAATGTGAATGTAGGACTTACTTTTTTTTTGCTTAATAATTTAAGATACACTAACCTTCATCATAACAAGGTTGCATTAAATAATAGAACATCTTGGTAAAATTTCAATTGAAATATTTTAGGTTACAATTCAAATTTTTCAATTTTGTCTGTTTATTTAATATGTTTTTTGAGTAATAAATTTAGTCTCTTGCACCTGTTCTGTATTTTGCATGTCTAAATACAACTTTTGAATCATTTCATCAAAAGTATAGTTTCAATTTAGAATGTGAACTACAAATTACCAAATTTGAAGCCCCCTCCTTTTCTCATTCTTTGTTTTAGCTTATCTAATATTTTTTTATGAAATAAATATAGGTAAAACAAAGAGAAAAAAATCTCTTATTAATTAATGAAATAATTAGCTATAATAATGTTACTGTTATAGCAGTAGGAAATAACCTGTTGAATCAGTAATAGAAATGTTGCTCTCAATGATAAAAAACAAAGTTGATCATTTATATGACCAATAATTGTTGATATGGTTCAATAGTGAATTCATGACTAAGATTTATGCTTTTATTCTAAGGGTTTGATTAATTATGTTCATTATTAAGTACTTAAAAGGAAAAAAAGAAAATGAACTCAAAATCATCAATCAGTTTACAAAAATCTACAGTACACATTCTTGCACTCAAACATATGCACAAGCAGTTTGTCATGTAGTTTTATTTTTGCTTCCTTGTTAGGAAAATATACTTCATTATTGAAAAGTTGATACATTATGAATATTTGTTAATTATTATATTAAGATAACAAAATTAGTCTATACTCAGCCTTAATATATTCTCAGCATCCATAGTTTTTCAGTAAGTTCAAATTGTTGGGTATTTATATATATTCCAATATAAATGAATATATGATAGTGAAAATGAATTACTAGCTGTTAAAATTTTATGCTGTTAGACATCATATCAATATATCCTATGGTTATTAATCACTTTTTGTTACAATTTAATTTTAATTCATTGTTATTTTATAACAATGTTATGCCCACAACTATGGCCAATTCATTCTCATAATATTATAGATGTAAGATTAAAAAATTACACCATCCTAAACATGTACCAAAAAATTGTACACTTACAATCATTTCATGTTTGTAAACTCCCTAAAGAAATATAAATGAGATTTATCTTGTAAAGATGTCTTCACAAAAATGTCAGTGAAAGTTGACATCTTCCATTATTTATACTCATTAATAGCTGATTTAATTTTAAAATCTCATATATCCAAATGCATTCTGGGTCTGAAGCAGCTTACTCAAGCCTTGTGCAAGTCTTTCATTTTTTAATTTGACCCAAAATAGGTTGATATAATTGTAATATTTAAAGCTATTTGGTACTGGGAATTGAACTTTATACTTTATACTTTGGAGCCTAACCACAGAACTCTTAATAGGCATAAACAAATAACAAGATTTCAAAGCTTTATCCTTCACTTTTGTCATTCATATATATATATATATATATATATATATATATATAGTCAAAATTATTAATAGAAGATCTGCCAAGAATGGTGAAATGTTTTGTAAGAACCCCTGGACACAAATTTACTGTGGATGATCTAGTGATTAAAATATTTTCTAAACATTTTTATTAAAGTCTTAGTGAATTGTTTTTCTCTTTTAATTTGAAAGTAGCATTTTTTTAAATCAAAATTGTGGTCAGTCTCATTAATAGTGAGCAACTAATGCATTTTTATTTTTTCTATGTTTTTTTTAAATAAAATATCTTTTGTTTCATATAATATTTTCTTTTTAAATTTCTTGAGGTTTCTCCTATGTATTCTTTTGGCAATTATTACAGGTAATAGTAAATTCCTTTTTTTGTTTTAGCTTATTTTTTTTTGTTTTGTATTAAGTCTTTTATTGTTTTAGATTCTAGTTTCCTTGGTAACAAATTTTGTGTTGAGTTTAGATAAATTCTATCCAATTGTAGTTGTGATTGAGTTAGTGGGGAGAACTTTTTTTGATTCATTGGGTTTGTCAGGAAGGGCCACTTTTCTCTTTTTTTTATGAGCCTTTTGTGTCACATTGAATATGAAATAATTAGGGCATTGAAGGAGCTTGAAAGTATTTTCAATGTATTTCTCCTCTTCATGTAAATATTGAAAACTGCAAATTCTGAGCGCTCTTAAGTAGAATCTGATGATTATTCCAGATTTTATTTTGTTGTCATGAATGAAATAGAAATTTAAGAGAATATTTTGTTAGTTAATTTTCAATGGACACTAAGTTTTAAGCTACTATTAACAGGATATCTACAAAAGTAAAGTATTGTTTTTTATTTCATTTCATATGTATCTTGTATGTTTGTTTAGTTTATCTACAAGATCAGGTAAATCAGTTTCACATGTATATATTAATAGTGCATCCTCAATATATCAGAAGTATGATTGTTTAGGTAAAATATTTTGAAAAGGACCAAATTTGAGAAATTCTCATACCATCACTCCACTTAGGATTGATCTGATTGCTAATCCAAATTTTTGCTCATAAAAATTATCATTAAATATGAAATAGCATTGATTGGTGATGAAATGGCTGATTTTTATTATTTTAGATATTGGAGAAGTTTATCTTTGATTGTGTTAGATGTATTTTTTAAAAGATCTAAGCATCTTTCAACCTGAATGTTAATGTAAGTTCATGAAAAGAGATTTTATATCAGACTGGACATAAGTTTGTTAGTAATATTTGTTTCCCTTAGTCTTTCAACTAGGTTGCCTGAATTTTTTATGTGATGGGCTGATTGTTCCAAGAACAGCGGTTACAATTTTTGTTATGGCTTTTGCCAATTTCTGGGGAGAACTGTCTGTGCTTGAAATAATGGGGTGCATTGGGATGCTTGTTTGGTGGGTTTTAAGGAGACTTTGATATTCTAGGGTGATATATTCTATTCATCTATACCATTGTTTTCATTTTTAATTAGTTTCCTAATCATCTTGTAAAATTTTTGTTTCAATAATTATTTTCTGTTCATTTATCTTTTCATATATGTTGGTATCATTGAATAGTGAATTAATTTTTCACTGTATGTTCTTATGATAACAATCCCATCTTCAATGTCCGAGGAGGAAATGTAGATTACTTTATTTTTTGCTAAGGTTCTTTAGTGCATTTAAGTGTCTATGTGGTAAAGTTCTTTTATTGTTGGTTTCTAGAGTGGCATTGATTATTCCTTGAATTGAGACTTTGGTGAATTCTGTGTCATTTTGTCTATGATTTTTAATTAGTCTCAACTAGATCTCCTTTACAAATCCTGGTAGTGAATTTTAAACTGAAGCTGAGCACTTCCAATTCAATATTGAATAGATTTATATATGATAGATTCTCTATTAGATCTGGTCTTCCAGCATATTTCTACTCTTGTTCGTGCACGTATGGAGTTGCATCAACATAAAAATAGTCTGATGAAGTCCTAAAGGATGAAATATGTCACACAAAAACCTTTTCCACTTTGCTATACATCTTTCTCCAAAAATTGTTCTTGATACCCAACTATGATTTATTTATTCACACACACATACTGGAAGGTGGCATAAGCTTCATCCCAGTTTCTCTTTCAAATGTCTATTACAGTTTCCCCACCCTGCAACCTCTGAACTTTATAAGCTATTCCCTTTTCTCTAACTTTGGTTGTGTTTGTATTTTCCACCTCACATCCATTCTACACCAATTTTCAAATACTCTTCATTTACTACATATTCACATGTCTGTTTAGCTTGTATTGTAATATGAAAAAATATAAGCAAATGTTCATATTATCTCCCTTCATGTAGAGTGTAGGGATAACTCTGTACATGCAGAAAATCCACCACTCCTTTTAAATTGTATCCTCCAAAACCTGCAGTTTTCTCTCTTTCTTTCTCTCTCTCTCTCTCTCTCTTCACACCATGTACTAATTTTCTTTTAGATTATTCTGTTCTCATATTCCGTATATTGATTTCATATTAGACAGGTGGCATGCTTCAGTCAAAAACATATTTGTCTTATGACATCTACAAGAATTAAAAGATGTAAATATCTTTCAGGTTTTTCTTTAAGAGAACTTTTCCTTTTCTCTAACCTAGAAAAGCAGAAAAAATAAATTTTTGTAGGTAGAAGAAAGACTTTTTTCTTGATAAACGGGTTAATTATTTGATTTTCATTCTCTCATTTAAAAAAAAAAATAAAGGAAAATTTCAATTTCTGTAAAAAAAAAAAAAAACTTTGAGAAAATGATTTTGCACTCTTTGCAAAAATTCTTAGAAATAAATTTACAATGCAGTGTGTGTGTATGTATGTATGTATGTGTATATATATATATATATATATATATATATATTTGAGTGCAAATATATTTGATTATGCATTTTGCTATTCAAGGCTCAGATCCAAAAACAAAAGAATGAAATGCATATTTGTGTGTATGCTTAAATAATGAATAATAAACACAAATACACATTTCATTCATTCATTTTTAGATTTGATGAATCCTTGAATGGCGAAATATATAATCAAATTTATTTTCCATTTGTCAAATTTAAAAACTTTTCAGGATTTCTGTGTCTCTAACTTAAAAACACACACACATATATATAATATATATATATATATATATATATATATATATATATATATATCGAAAAAAATAGTCTTAAGGTGTGCTATATTTATGGGATAAAATTTCATTTTTAATATCAGAGATAGAGTTTTTAAAATATAAATATGTGGACATTGAAGTCAACACTTCCCTTTATTTCAAAACTGTTTCATTTAGATGTCGTCAGGCCACCTGACAATTGTGTCCAGCATGAAACAGACTGTCACCTTTTAAGAAATTTATATATATATATATATATATATATATATATATATATATATATATATAAATTTCTGTATGTTTACAGGGTCTATTGAAATGTTCTATATGCCTTTGTCCCCTGTAAATTTTCTTATTCTCATTCATTTTTGCCTTTTCTTCCATGGAAAGTAGATTTTTTGAATCACTATAATCATACTTATTACATTGAAATAGTTAAGTTGTGAAATAACTATTTCTCAACTATCTAACTTTTTGTTATGCCACCTCTGACCTCCCTTTTTCTCCTTCTAATCTGTTATAGATATGATATTAATAAGTAAAAAAAAAAAACCTAGTGCAATACTGGCTTTTAGAATCTGTTTTCAATATTGATGCTATTAATATTGCACAATTTTATTGTGTAATAATATTGAGTGATTGTCATGGCGAGGGAGATAATGTTCAAGCACAAAATCTAAACTCAAACAAATGATTGAGATTTTTTCCTCTTTATTAAAACAATTTTTTATAGATACTGTAAATGACTTTTTATTTCTATCATTGTGTCGAAAACATGTGTCCAACCAGTGTCTGGATATGGGTGGGGGTGAAAAAAACCTGTAATTTTAAGCCAAATAAATTAGTTTAGTGCCTCTGTAATGCATTGTTAAAATAATGACAGCTGCACTTACTGATCCCTATCTGCCCTTTAACCTAATTTTTACTCTTTGTCCCCCCTACTCTAACCCAACCACCACCACCCTCTTGCTACAATGACCGGTGCTCAAAAAGATCATTTTTGCAAAAAAAAAAACAAAACTGACAGGTTGATGTTCTCCCCCAATTCTGCAGTGTTTTACCAGACCATTAATCATCTTTGATTGCAAAGTGTATCTAAGTTACATATTAGGTATATAAAGTTTCATTATTATTATTATTATTATTATTATTGTAATCTCTTTGATTATGCACTTCCATTTGGCTTAAAATAGAATGATGTGAAAATGAAGCATTCATCTAGCAAACAAATTAATGAGTATGTTTCTTGGTGTGTGCATGCATCTACTACCACATCTATCCACAAAAATATAACCTGCATATGTTTACATAGTTTCTTTCTTTCTTTCTCTCTCTCTCTCTCTCTCTCTCTCATGTGTGTTACACACACATTTATATGTACACATTTTCTACCTTGGTAGTGGTGGTAGTAGTAGTAGTAGTAGTAGTAGTAGTATAAATGCTAATAAAAATCATGATGTGAAAGCTGAAAATAGATATTTTATTTACATTTGGTTAGATAAGTCTCTTATAACCAGAAATGAGTTTTTTGTATTTATCTTTCAAAATATGAAAAATATTTTCTAAAGTTTTTTTTTTTTTTTTTTAGAATTATTAAATTTTAAATGAAGACCTCAAAAGAATACAAAATTACTTTTTTTTCTTTTTTTTTTCTTTTTTTTGACTACTAATATTCCAGATTATACAAAAAAGTATGAAGAAGATGTGAAAAAAATCAGTGATATATTACTCTCATAAAAGTACAAAAATGAACAGTTAGTAACATGGAAGATTTTGTTTTGTTTTTGTTTGTTTTTGTTTTTTTTAAAAAAAAGTTGAAATTTTAGAATAAATCTTATTTATGAATAAAAAAAAGAAAGATTGAGTTTAAACCCTTATTTATGGGAGGAAGCAAAAAAATTATAAATCATTTTCAAACTCCTTACATGATTAATTTTAACAGATGCTTTTCAGATATTGTTTTTTTTTTTTTTTTTTTTTTTTTTTTTGGCATTGTGCCAAATATTTTTAGCAAACAATGGTTCTTAGTAATGAAGGTTATTACTTTGTCTTCTGGATTAGACAAATGTATTTCCTTTTCTATTTGTGTAGAGCTGTTATTTAGTAACAAGGCTATGGGGAAATTAAATTTCTACTCTGAAAGAATTTTAATTTTTGAAAAAGTTAATGGAATTTAAAATTATCTAAAAATATTTTAAAAAAATTAGAAAAATTTTCCAAAATCATTTGAAATACTAATTATTGAAAAAAGGAAAAAAAAAATTAAGAGAGAATGGGTGGGTGTGTATGTATGTATGTATGAGTGTGTGTGTGTATAAATAAATTTATTTTTCCTTTAAATACTTTCCAAACTGAGGAAGAAAAATTACGTTTTTAGATAAAATAATTTTAAATTGTGATTTTTTTTTTTTTTCTTTTAATTAACAAAAAATGCAAAGAAACTTTGTCCACTTGCTCTGGTAAGGTTGCCTGATAGTTTGAAGGGCAAATGTATATTTGGTTGGTTTTCAGACATCGGTCACTCGACTGCTTTAGTATTACTTAACCTTGGCATCTGCAAATGTACATCTTTTTCTGTAAATGTTATATGAAGAAGAAAACCAAGAATAAAAGAGACAAAAATAAAGAAAAATAAAATTGTTTATAAGATGAATACGTTTGTTATAAACTGGTATAAAATCTTGCTCCCAGATGATGGGTTTTATATTTGTTTATTACATTTGTTCCAAAGCATTTTAAGACAAAAAAAACAAATGAAAAAAAAAAAAACAATGGAGAAAAAAATGTCATATCCTCTTTGTATGTATATATGTAATATATATAAAAATTGTGTGTACGAATATATATGTATACATGTGTGTGCGTGTGTGTGTGTGTATATATATATATATGTACATATTGAAATGTGTGTATGTATATGTATATATATATTTATACATATATATATTGTAATATACTGTTGAAATAAACTATATTATAAACTTTTCTCACATGCAGGACTCCAGTTTCAGGATGTTCTTTTTTTTTTCCTCCTCTTTCTTTCATGTTAAAAAAATAATTTCACAAATGAGGCAATCATTTTTATATGAATGGTGAACTGTTTTAATAGGTATCTTATTGAAAATCAGTTTTATATTAATGGTGAACTGTTTTAATAAGTATCTTTAAGAAGAAACATTTCGTGTAATCACCATCTCAAGTTGCTTAACATTATTAGATCTAAAGAAGTTTCCATCTTGTCTGTGCCTTCTGATATTAAAGTGAGCTTTGGAATGAGAAGGATGAATACTAATTCCTTTATGAAAATGAAATGACTCTGCTGTTCAGTTCATCTAAAAGAAAACATACAAATCCAAATTAAATGTATTTATGACTATGAAATGAAGTAGAAAAGCTGATTATTTTAATTGTTATCCAAAGAAAACAAACCTGTATTTTCTCTCTATACATTTCATAAATCAGCAGAAGGACTTTTTGAGGATAATTATAAAATAACATTCTATAATCAAGTTTTATCTTTACCTCTAATTGAAAGTTGATAACTAAATTGTTCTAATTAGAGTGTTAATGAAAGTTACTAAAATATATTGGCAAGATGAAGGATTTTATACAAATGATTGACTATGATATTCACCTGAAGATGGCCAGAGAATAATGCACTATATTCATAAACAGAACAAAGTTGAAGGTACAAGTCTTAATAATGACAGTGCTCAGTTAATGTTCTTATCAATTCTTAGAAATTTGCCCTCTTATTTGCTTATATGTTTTTACACAGTTCAGGAAAAATATCTGAACAGATAAAAAGTTCTCTAACCAAAAACGAAATTACTTTAGAAAGACTCAGTTCTGTTCTAGAATCATTGCTCTGCTTATAAAATGTTCATAGCTTAAGACTTTTGTAAGATCATGATTGATTGGATTCTGGCTGAGCTAAAAAGCTGTACTAATGCTGTGTGACCAGTTTTACACAATTAAAAAATATAATAAATTCATTTATTTCTACTGTCATAATGTATATGTATTAATAATATACTGTTTTCTCCACAAGAAAGTTACATGGTTGAAATAGTGTTGACCACAAGAGAGTTCAATCAGCAGTAGCTTAAAAGGGAAGTAACTCGCCTAGAAAAGGAAGATTTTTGAATTTGTGCACAAATGTTTCTTTTTCTGTTTACATTCTTCTTAAAACAAAAACTAGTTTTAACTATATTTTCTAATATATTTTTATTTTAATATAAAATGCAGTTTTTATACAGTATAATTTAAAAATGATGTAAGTAAAAACCCAAAAGAAATTTTACTGTATTTTTCTTAAAACCAGTATTTGCATGAATATTTACTACATATTAAAAATTCCTGCATATTTTTTAATTCCTCCTCCTCTATGAAAATAGGTAATTGAATATGTACTGTGGATTTATATTAAATATACCTTTTATTTAAGCATTCACTTGTGGAATCTGAACTCTTGTATGTCTGTGAAGAGACTTATTTGAATTCTGGAATGAAATATTTTCATTTGCAATTTTTCTCTTATCTTTTTATCTTGTTGCTTTTTATCACAATTTTCTAAGTTAAATATCCTCTGGCCATTTAAGTAGCATGAAGTATGAATAAAGAATCTAGAACTTGTATACCAGGTGTTTGTCTTTCTTAGATGATGCCTTAACCAATTCAACTGTGGTAGCCAAGATGGCATGTAAATCTCATTGATTCTTCTCTCAAATTTTTCAAGTCTCATTGGAAGTTACTTTGTTATCTCTACTTCATGCTCTATTACTTTAAAGGTTGGAGAAAATTTAATTTAAAACATTATTGTCATAAAAAGCAGCAATAAAATTAAGAGCTAAATCAGATATGAACAAGACCTGTTTACTGATAAAAACAAAACCTTTGATCAAAATGTCAAACCAAATGTTTAAATGTTGCAAATTTTAAAAGTTTTCATATGTCTAAAAGTCTGACCTTCTTTTAATATTATTAGCTTATTTCACTGATTATCATCCAGAGCTATGACCTATAAAAGAGATGAAAGTATTGTTAATGCTGTCAGGTATAAACAAATCCTATATATTCAATGTGCAAAGGTCAAAGTGGTGAGAAACATGGACAATGTTGTATCTCTGTAATTAGCCGTATGACCCAGGGTATTGAAAAGAACAGTTGGTATAAAGAAACAGTATCAAACTTCTATATTAACAGTATTTCTGAGAAACAAATGCTATAATATGGAATAAGAGTATCAAATGCAGTAAGTGTATAACAAGAGAGTCAGTCATGTTTCTGGAGCGTGTACTCCATAAATGACCCTGTAACCTAAATCTGATAATCAGAATTGACTTGGAAACATGAAGGTCAAACTAGAGAACTTGAACCTCTACTAAACTTATCACTAAAGGACAAGGCTTTTTGAATAGTCTTCTTTCTTAAGCTATTATGAAATCTGACTATTCAATAATGCTTGTTAAAATTCACTCCAGAAAAAAAAAAAATTCACAAAAACAATGCCAGGCATTGTTTTTGTGAAATGTAATAACAATGTGGCTTAAAGATCAACAGGATTAAATTAAAAACTTGATTAAAGTCTACATTACTTCCACTTGGATGCCAACTATAATACTGTTGATATTTTTCAGATTTGTTTTTTAATGAACACATTTAACATGGTTCAGGTTATTTTTTAAGAAAATAATTGGAACATTTTTTCTTTTGCTAAAAATCAGGTCTTCATAAATTTAGCTTTGGTCAACTTTATAAATCAATATTTTTTATATTTATTTTGTTGAATAAGTAACACATAAAACAGTATATTTAGTCATTCATTTATTTTCAAGAAATATGTTCTTTAAGGGAAAAATCAGTTTGTTGGAATCTCTTAAGAAAAAAGTTTGGAATCAGTTGGTATCAAATATGTAACACTAATGCCAGACTCCTGTTTAGTATAGAACTGGATTATATGAAACTGATCATTCAAAAGTGAAGATTTGTCTTCAGAATACTTCAGCCGTCTTTGCCAACAATAAAGTCTAAATGATGAATATTTAATATAATGTGCCTATATCGGACTTGGAGTGGAATTTAATGCAAGAAATTGGATGAAAGCAGACTGATTCATATTGAATTTTCAGCAAATGTTTGAAGGAAAAGATATGTTGAACGGTCATGATAATTTTTTTCTTCAAGGAAATAAAATTGCAAACTGCATTTACATGATAGGATACTGGGTGAGACAGCATTTTATCAGATTATAATATTATCTTTTATAATAATAGAATCAAATAAATAACAAAAGCTAGAAACATTAGTTAAATTAATTTTACTCTGAAAGTTTAAAAAGTTTTATGAACTTAT